TTTCTTCCTTTTTTTTTTTTCCTCCCTGGCTGTGTCATCTTCAAACTTTTTCTCTTGTCTTGGGTTGTTTGAATTTCATCTTGCACTTTTTTAATGTCTTTTCCTTCTTTATGGTGGGAGGGGAAGAAGAGAAGAGGTAGAAGCTACATTTTCTTTGCTTTTGAAGCTAAATCTAATGACAGCTGTACCGACAATTTTCTTCTGTGTTTACATGCAGCCAGGAGCTATGGGCGGAGAAGAGGTAAAAGTATTTACTAAATGTTTTGTTTGCTGAATAGTGGGAGAAATAAATATTTCATTTTCTTATGATGTTACCAATTTTAACATTATTTGGTTCGTCAATTGCTTCATATAAATCAATCTCATATGCTTCATTTTCAAAGCACCTCCGTTTCAATATCAGCTTAAAGCAATGATGATATTGAGTGGATAACTTCAAGTGTGTTGCTATTACTAGTGAACTGGAGGATAACTGAATGTAAAGACTTTCATGGTACATATTTATGACTTTGAATGTGTAGTGTTCAAAAATAAAAAGATTGTGGTGGGGTTTTTTTTTTAGAAGTGCGATGTTTAACTAGTGCATTGAACATTTCAAACCCACTTTTTTTTTTTGTTTTAGATGAAACACCTTTCATTGACTATTACACTTGAGTATTACATTGGATTGCCTTAGGTAGAACATTGTGAATACCAATTCTAATAACTGTCCTCAGTAGTGAATATTGATAATAATAAAAAAGAAAGATACAACATTTGAGCACATTTAAATTTTATTTCATCATAGGCAACCATTAAAAAATAAAAGCAGACTGAAAACATTCTACAAATGTAGAGTGTTGCATGTAAGTTTATTCTGAGAGATTAATGAACATGGACAATAGCAAGCTCGCTGACTACTAAGAAAGCTTCTAATGTACCTTACATGTATGTACTGTGCTGTAGCTTACACAGACTGTTGTTTTGTTTTTGTTTGAGTTTTGGTTTTTTGTTGTTGGTTTTTTGTTTGGGTTTTTTTTTTTTTTTTTTAGAAAATAACAGTGAAGATTGCAGCTTTTAACAGTTAGAGTTGGGCAGTGCCATCTGCTTGGGGTACTTTGGCATTAAACTTCATTTTATCTTCTTTTTCATGTATGTTCTGTGACAGCTATGAATGTGACATTGCTTCCTTTTAAAAATGTAGAATTTGCATGATGTTTCTGAAGAAGCCTGGCAACAAACCTAGCCATACAAGCAAGCCGATAGTGTATAAGTCACTTGGTTTCACATATGTATGGATTGAGGTAGTAGGCTGTGCAGGCTGTACTAACACAGTTTATAAAATAGAATTGGAGCTGATTTTGTTCAAAGCCAACTAGTTTTAGTGTTTCATAGCTAAAACGAAAAGATTTAAGTTTTCCACAAACTTACCTTCCTTTTTTTCCCCTCCTTCCAGAGAACAAGCTATTGTTAACAGATGTTGACGTTGTCCTAATTCTTTTTCAGTGCTCTCATGGTACTGAAACAAATTGGAAAGTATGCAGAGTGTATAATATTGTATACTCTGTGTGCATGTGAACACTGTTTAATTTAATTTTGAGATTGTGGCAAGTGTTTCCAGGTTGATCAAATGGCACTGAAGTAGGGAAGGAGGTGGGGATCAGTTGGACACTATTAATTTCTTGCAGCTCATGTTTACTCATAGAAGTGAAATATAGTAAAGTGGCAGTAATTGTGATGAACACAGTGTAGGCTGTTTTATACAAATTGTAGTGATGACAAAACAGGGCAAACAAGTTCTGAATGTGCTAGGACTTTCAGAATTATTTTTTTTTTTTACTCTACTGGCAAGCATATTTCACTCCATAATAATTGTTTCCTGTGTGAAATTCAGGCTTCTGTATAGTAACGAGTAGATTTGTGTGTGTGTGTGCGCGTGTGTCTCGTCATTAATGTTAGGGATTTTGTGACTTGCCTTATTAATACAATTTAATATTAATACAATATTAAAGTCTGTGATATCTGTGATATTCATGCTTTTTCATTACCTTGAATTTTATAATGTTGTTTTGAGCTTTCTTAAGAAACACAAAATTCTACAACAGTCTGTTAAAAAATGATGTGTTGTTTATCAAATGTTGTCATATATGCCCCTCTATTGTTTTTACCATTTGCATTGTGGTAATATGCAGAGTACCCAGAGGTGAATCTGTGAAGGGACTTATCTCATGTTTATTATACTTGGATATTTTAATTAGTGTTTGATTCTGTCACTGCGACTAAGTATCTTCAGTGAGAAGAGGTTTTGTCAGAAATTTCTTGGGGTTTGCCATAACCTATTAGTTCCCTACTTGATCCTCTGTTTTCTTTGAGTAGAGGTGAGCATTTCTTTGTAGGTATGCTTAGAGCTGTTGAGTCATGCTCTTCTAGGTACCATGTTTTTAACTTTTACAACCAGTCTTTCAGGTACAGATGTAAGCACAGGTATGGGAAATCAGCCCAAAATCTATTCAGCTACATTGACAACTCAGAGATGCCAGAGAAGCGGTGCAGGAGTATAAAAATAGGGCATTTAGTGACGCTTTCCCATAACACTCTCCCAGAGGTTTGCCTCCTGGGGTTTGTTGAGGTGATTTCTCAATATTTATTGCTTCACAATGGGTTTTACCCCTGTTCCTGCTCATTCCCTTTCTGAACCTATATCAGCTTTTCAGCATCTTAAAAAGCCTGTGGCAAGGGGTTCCACAGTTTGACTTGCTTTCAACCTTCTATGTACTGATTGTGTTCAATGCACTTGAGTTTCCCCTTACTGGAAGAGACAGTGAACAATCATTCCCTTTTCCCTTGTCTGTATGCTTTCGATTATTTTAAATGTATACTTCATACATTTAACTCCATACTTGACTTAACTAAAGGTTTTGGTAATTTTTTCATTTACTTAAGATGAGTACAATGCTTACAGACTGTCAAACTCTGGCATAAGAGGAGACATCGTGCTTTTTAAGCTGCTGTGCATTTTTATTTCCTTCAGAACTCAGCACTTACTCAGCTTCCTCTGTAGACTTGTATTTGAGTTGAACACCTTGTTCTAGTATCTATTAATTTGATATGTCAACTTCCACAAATGGCTCAGTTTATTTTTTACAAGAAGGCAGGCTGGAGGGGTGGGGGTGGGAATTAAAAGATTATTTTGTTTCTTAGAAATGCCAGTCTCTTATGGATATTTTTGAATTTCCTACTTTTCAATGGGTTTTCTGATTTGATATTTTTACACAATTTTAGCTTTCCTAATCATTATTTCTCTCAGGTATATGTTCTCTTTTATGCTGAAATGCATATGTTTAGGTATGTGCATGACCTGTTTGTCCATTAATGGAATATTCATCATTAGTCTTTCCTGGTTTATGCTCTAAACACACCATTTCTGCCAACCAGTTATACTAGACTTTGAAGAGTACCATCTCTAAATCCTTCTCTGATTGTTTTTTTTATGTTGGTGTTTAAAAGCACAGTAGGATTTTTGTTTCAGTGTATTTATGTATCTGTGATCTCCGTCAATGTTGATCTCCGTCATTCTAGTTCCTGGTGTTCGTAAAGAAAATCAGGCTGGTGGTCCGCGTCAGTCAGAACATCTTTCCTGGTTTTTGTTAGCTTATTGTCCTTATGTAGGACTGCTGCTTCTTTTTGTAATCTGTCCTTTACTACTGGAGACTCTACTGCTAATATTTTCAGTGTATACATTTTTCTGACTAGTGTTCCTCTGCATGTCTTGATTTTTTTTTTTCTCCTTGCCCCTGTTTTTATTTCCTGTACTTCCCTGTGCTGTTAATATCAGTGTGGTGTTAATTCTTCCTTAGGTCTTGCTGGAGGTCAGTTTCATGTGATGCATTACCTTTGAATTTAATTATGTGCCCTGCTATTTATATTTGTAATTAACCCCCCTATAAACTGTTTGTATCAATTAATTATAATTCCATCTCTGGGAGCAATCCTCCATGATCTGAGGGGACAATTAGCCTTTTCAGAGTTGAGATGGAGCTCCCCTTTATACATCTCTACATCACAGGATTTATTTTTCAACTTGGGTATAGGGAATTGTTCAGTTCTAAAGTTGGCATGTTCTACAGTGTTCTACAGTGTTGCTTATACATAGACTTTGAATATTTCTTTACTTTCTATTCTGGGTTAATAAATCTGTTAAGATAATGTGTGTATACTTTGGTAGTAATAGCAACAAGTTAATTGCATCAGATGATCACAAATTCTTTACTTTTCATTAACAAACTGAGTAGCAGCCATTTATGTTGCTTTTTGTTAATTCATTACTGAAAGGGTGTTTTAACACTGAGTAACAGCTTGACATGCTGTCTTAGCTAACAACTTTTTTCTTCAAGTGCAAATTTTTTGTGGTTTATTTAATAAGATTTTTAAGATTTTTTTTTTTTCTTGTTAGCTAAGCTTCTTGCTTCACCTACATGTTTTATATTCACAATACAAAGCTCTTCTATGTTTATTTTGCTGTTTGCCCCCCCTACTTAGACCAGGCCTCCATTCACTCGAGGAGGAAGTGATGCAGCCCTTGTGGTTAGAACCCTGTAAAGCACTCTGAAGGAGACTCCTGCTCTGCAGTGCAGTGGCTTGAGGGATCTGCTCTTTAAGATCACTCCTTCAAGATCTGTTATGGAAGATTTAAATCTCTAAGAATTGGTTTGAAATGTAAATCTTAGAAGGTTCTTTCTATAGCTATGACACACAATTTCATCAGATAACTTGTTGGTTTTCATTGTTAGCCATTCGCAAGGGTTTGTTTTAAAGCTAAATTAGGTTTATTGTCTTGTAAGGATAATATAGTCTTGGAAAAATAGAAGCAATACTAATGATCATTTGGACCACTTAGCTGGGCCCTTTAATGCAAATTCTATTAAAGCAAAACAGTACAAGCAAAATATAATGGTTTTTACTGAAATGTTTAATTCTCCAGGAAATAGTGTTAACTATAGATACTACAAAATCTGTTACAGGTCGGTCTTCACTCTTTCCTTTTGAAGATGGCTTCCTAGACGACAGTCATGGTGATCAGTCTTTATCATCGGGTCTCAGCTCTCCAACACGCTGTCAGAATGGTGAAAGAGTGGAACGCTATTCTAGAAAAGTCTTTGTTGGAGGTCTTCCTCCTGACATTGATGAAGGTACTGTGAATAAGTTACATCGGTGAGATGTGGGAATTGGCTTTCATATAATTACTTTGAAAAGGTCAGATTTTCATAAAAAAACAAACATATTTTCCCAGATATGTCGTTTGTAGTGCTTGTGGCATTATTTAAAACAAACACCACCACCCCCTGCAACACCTGAGAATTTACCTGACATTCTTTTGTACTGTAGATCAGAAGAGATGGAGACAGAAATGCCGGCATAGCAGGTCTTCTAATCTGCAATAGCAGCATGTGTAGGAAAGTGGAAAAGCTGGAAAAGGGAACTTAGTGGGTACTGTCACTCCTCCATAGTCTTTCCCTGTTCTTTCTAAAAGATGTGCTTGACTTTAAGGACTTTGTTAATACAGTCCTTACCAAAATGCATTGGGCTTCAGTTAATCAGCTCTTATATCCAGCACATATGCAGTGTTCAGTTGACAAATGTAGGGCAATTAATATGGCTATGAAATAATCAGCTTAGTAGGCATGGTTACATTTTTTTCTCAATCTCAATCAATACCTGTTCTACTTCTGTGTGCCCTGCACACCCTGACTCCCAGACCAAAATCATGACAAGTTTTGGTGTGTTTTTCATATTATAGCTGGAATCCACCACTATCTAGCTTCAACTGGCATACACAGGAATTTGAGGATGCCTTATAATGAAGAGAGAGGGATGTCCAAATCTGATTACTAAATTGAAGCCTAAACCCCGTGCAATTTTAATAAAGAAATAATCTGAGTTGCCAATCTATGGTTTACAAACAGCTGAAATACAGTTCCCATGTCACATCATGAGTTGCAGGACTGCTGATACAGGGACTGCTGGGTAACCTGAGTCCCCAGCTGTAAGAAGCAGCAGGCTAACAGGTACAGCTGATGTGAACATTGCTGGATCATTCAGAATCAAAATATATGCCCAGCCTGACCTACAAGGGAGTAACATGGCCACTTGGGAGCTGTTACCTTTTTTCATGAGAGGTCTACTCCAGTAACACCTTTTTCCTTTGGCTCCTTATGCAATATGTGTTTTGTGGCTCTAGTCACTTGAAAAATCTGACGTGCAGCTCATGGGGTCAGATAAACTGGACACATCTCAAACAGCTATCAAAAAATTGGAAACCCGCTGCCTTTGTCTTCAAACTTTTCTCCTGATAGATTGTTGCTCTGATCTATCTAGCGTTGCATTAGACACAATTTTAAACCGATTCTTTCTTTAAAGTACATAAATAAATGCATTGAGAAAAAAGATTTTTTTGAAAATAAAATACTTTTTTAATGAAGCATTTGCATGTAAAACACGATTGTCCTACAGGATGGTTTGAGATGTGTTCTATGGTGTTTCAAAATTGATGCTCAAAAAGCAAAGCAATAACTTGGTAACTTAAGGCAGATTTCCAGAGGGGACTGAGGAAGGTGAAATCCCAAGTCGCATGACCTGATGCAGCTTGCTTTCTAGGGCATGCTACAAGGAGTGGCCATGCTGCATATACCTTCTCCGTCAGCCCCATGTGGCTGCATCTGACCCTGCTTTGTGGCTATAATTAGAAACAGACTGCAGCTGAAGCATATTCACTTCTGATAGATCATGTTTGCATTTTAATCCTGCTGCAAACTTGCATTAGTGGAATATAAAATTACTTTTTTAAGCAGCCATGTGTAGCATAGAGGTTAAAGAATATTTAGGTATCCTCTGTCTACATTATTGCAGTTTTCACTGTTCTTAATAGGTGTAGAAAATAGTCTAAGTTGTTGGGGTTTTTTTTTAAAGTAAGAAATTTTACCTTGCCACTGTCAGTCTTCATATTCTCTCTAAGGTGCCTCATTTGTTTTTTGTAGATGAGATCACTGCCAGCTTTCGTAGGTTTGGACCTCTTGTGGTGGACTGGCCTCACAAAGCTGAAAGCAAGTCATATTTTCCACCTAAAGGTAATTAGTTTAAAATACATTTATGCAGGCTGTTATGGTAAAAGGAAACTGTCTGCAATGTGAAAAGAAAAGATTTGACTCTTTATGATGAATTTTCTCTCTTTCAACAAGCATATTTTCAGCAGTTGTCATGATGGAAAAAAACACAGTTTAGTGACTGAAATGTGGTCCTGTGTGCGTGTATTTCTTGATCAAGCCTGGAGTCCTTGAATCATGCCTTAATTTATGCTAGGCTTACTTTAGAAGGCAAGTTGTAGAAATTTCCTAGTGCTGATTCGGTTGCAGTTTGCATATTGTAGAAACTGTAGGAATAATAGCTGGAAGTCACTGGGGGATTGGGTACGCAGTGTTTTGTATAGAAGCACGAGTCCACTTTCTGTGTGTTCTGACCCAAGAAGCCATGATCCTGCTCAGAACCACAAGGTCGGCATCAGGGCTCGCTGGGTGCTGAACTGCAGCAACGAGCTGTGCTGAGAGGGGCAGGCTGGCAGTGTGCACCACGGTCACAGAGTTTCTAGGTTCAGGGTGTTCAGAGTGCATGCAGGTGGGGCAATTTCATATTTGTCAGCAAAACACTATGCAGACCTGTTTTGGCTGACAACAGTTTATGGCAAACCTCTTTGGGAGAGTTACTTGGCTAAATCACATTGCTCTTATTGTATCCTGGTCTCTCCTATGGTTTTGTGTTATACTATATACATTCTATTTTCAGTCACATGTGCCTCTTGCCTATAGTTTGGAAATTCATTCATGATCTGAAACAGTAGCATGAAGTTATACACAGAATTTCTGATCTAGATGAGTTTCTGTTCTCACTGACCCTGAAAGCTCTTAATTGCTCATTAAGACTGATGATTTTGGCAGGACAATGGGCTGTTCAGTCAGTGAACTAGCTAGCTAATCCTACAATAGTTTGATAGATATATTTTAACTGTAAAAACCCACACAAATAAATGCCAGCTTAATATATCTGGAAGTTTAAGTCTGGAGGCGAGATAACTCTGTGACAAATGCTTGCCTTGTAAACAGTATTTGGGGCACTTCAAAACAAAACAAAAACCAATACATGCTCCCTCTTTCCTGTTCCATTCTCGCAACTCAGCCTTGTTGTCAGTAGTTATTATGCAACATCTGTTCTTGAATTTAAAAACAAAACAAACAAAAAACCCCCAAACCAGCAACAAAACACCCCAAACCTCAAAAAAACACCATATATTCCTAAGGACAGTTGGTAAAATGCATGATTTTTCCCTTTTTATTTTATTTTTAAAGGTCTTTGGGGTCTTTTTGGCTAATGAATTCTGATTGTACCTTCACTTACAAGTTAAAAAAATGTAGTAGAACCAGCTTCTCCTTGTCCCTAATATCTCCTAGTACTCTCCACTTTTTTTTTTTTCTTTTCCCCCTCTTTTTTTTTTGTTTTTGTCTGATTAATTCAGTAAGTAACTATTCATGGTAGATCAACATGGGACTTCCAATTATGATTTTGTTCTGTATCTGACAGTGGACTAGTTATGCCTTGCCAAACTTGTAAAAATGTTTTTGAGTAAGATCTTATTTTAGCAGACGATGAGGGAGTGCAGCCTCACTTCTATTTTTGTCATGATTCTAATATAGGAAACAGCTTTCAAAGTCCCTGCCAGTTGCCCTGAATGTCTGTCTGAAAGTGCTAAACAACAGTCAATCCCAACTGTTCCAGATTTATTTATAACTGACTTATTCGTTATCAATCAGGGCTGCAGCATCATACGTCCTGCATTCCTGTCTTTGAGATTCACTTACAGTCGTGTTAAGCTCGGTAGGTCAGATGTACTTGATTTACTGTGATCCCATATTGGCAGCATCCGCATAGAAGACAGAATGTTATTACCAGGAGTCAAAGGGTAAAGTTTGAATATGTATTATTGTTTTTTTCAAAGCTTTTTCATCTATTTTATATTTTATATATATAACA